ATAGTCAGTTCAAAGTTGCCTACAACTTATTTGGTGGGGGGCGGTGAGGGACCTGGATAAGGGCTGGGGGGGCGCTGGCCCAAAAAGGTTGAGAAACTGATTTAGTTGGTAATGTTGCATGTTCTAAATTACTTGCAAAAACATTGACTGAAAGGACTCTTATTTAATGTTGAGGGATTTTTGCCTGTAAGGCAAACCTTTAGGGCACAGACATTTTACATTTTGTTTTGAGTTGAAATGCACTGAAGTCTTATTTAAGTTTGTTCGTTTAGCTAATTGTATTGTTAATTGTATTGTTAGAAGCAATTGTTTGCAGTAGTCAAAGACACTCTTTATTAAACTGTGATAGAAATGGTATAGTTCATTTCTATCACCACTCTAAGTTTCAGGCTCAGGATTTTTTTTTTACTTTAAGCCCTGAATCTATCATTGTAGCACAAATTTTGACTTTTCCCCCCATTCCCTATTGTCTTTGGAGAATGAACTGTAGCTGACATTTGGCAGTTCAAAAACACACATTTCAATGAATGTTGTTGAATACCCATCAATGATTTGAGTAAAGAAATAAAACAATAGAGCAAGGGAAATCTTTGACCCCTGGCTTCATTAAGTGAATGGGAGGTGTGTGCAGTTATGGTCTCCTGCCATCAGGAAGGTAAGAACAGTCTCCACTTCCTCCTATTCTCCATCTGTTTGCTTATGGGATTCCAGTCCATCCTGTGGGCCTGACCGTTGGCAGTCCTCTCGTCCTCTCAGTCTCTGGCCGGCTGATACAAACAGTAACAACTGCATCCAGCACCAGAGGAGCTTCAGGCTAACCATCATCCTCTGCAGCCCAGGGTTAAGACTTACAGTAAGTTTTTGTTTTCATTCTGTCCTCTCCGTCTTGGTTTTACTCTCCTTATGCTGTGACACATATACTTGTATATTGTATATAATATGAATGGAGGTTGTCCCTCTTTTAAGTCACTATTAAACTGTTTTATGGTTTGCATGAAATCTTTGGTATAATTTTGAAAAACACTAATTTGTTTACACACTTTACTCAGTTATTATCTGTGTTACATCCCAAAGGAACCAATAATAGCAGATGTTTTGCAAAACAAAACAGATTTTATTAAAGCATGAACAAATTTAGGAAAGATATATTTTATCACATCTATGATTGTTTTCCCACCTTACTCTTTTGTTTTAACCATTAACTATGATGTTTAAGGTTTTGCTGAAGTTTCTGATACATAAAGCAAACACTGAATAGACTTGAAATAAATAATGATGAAGACCACCGATGAATGATGTCATCAACCCTTTGACATCCCACCAGAATGAAGTCTCATTTAGTGCCCATAGGAGACAAATGGAACCCTCCAGAGAAACTGCAATAAAAATAATACATATTACATTTTGTTCTGTAATCAGAACTTTAAGTATTCATAAAAAAATAAATAAAAAAAAAGTTTTAACAGCAGTTTTGCTCTGACATCAAGAAAACTGTAAAACATCCAGGATGCCATGTTAGGAGTGTTTTGGGTGTGTATGGTTTATGAAAATTATTTTGAGTGCCGATTATATTCTTTATTTAATACAATAAAATACAACTGAGAGGTTCGGCTCAGACTCCTACATTAGCTCTGCTGCCCTCTGGTGGTTAAATATAAGATGTCTTTAAGAAAAATCCCTTCAATACCTTCAGGCTGGATGCTTCTAGTGGTCAGTGTTACAGCAGGTCTAAAGAAGCCTCTACCTGAAAACACTCTGCTGTTGTCTGACTGTTTCAGGGAGAAGAAGTTTAAGGAACTGTCTTTACAGTATCACACTGCTTTGGAATTTCATGTCCAGAAATTTCAAAGCAGTCTTGTTCGATTCTTCCAGATTTGCCCTAGATCCAAGTTATCAATTTTTTGTCTCTTATCTTCCACACATTCTCTACCAGAGACAAGTCTGGACTGGCAGGCAGAATCTGAAATGTCTTCAATCATGTAGTTGGACTATGTAGAACAGCAGTTTGCAGTCACTTGTTGAGAAAACCTGGCCCTGGACTTCCTACGGACAATCGTTTGTTTTCTACCTCCTTGCATCAGTACACATGGGGTCAAGTGTTCTAAAAAAAAAACTGAACAAAAACAGAAATCCTGAAGACGTCTTTCCTGTGTTTAAAAGCCATGCTTACACTCTGTGATGTTCCATTTTGAAAAGCCTTTGAGATTTTGTGATTTGGGCTAACATGCCAATCTATTTATTGCACAGGAACGTTTACAGCAGTATGTGTTAATGTGACTTGTGCTCCACAAAGCTTTTGTAAGTAATCCCCTGTCCTTGGGGTTCTGTTAGCAATGAATCAGAGACTGATGAGAGGGATCATAGATCAGAAATACGCTCTCTGAGCTTAAGTTTGCATTTTTCTCAATGAAATGACTCCATATTCTTAAAATCTTTACTGTATTGTGGACAATCTAATGTCATCTCTGATTATAAAAAATGTTTTCACATTCTCCTGGATAATCTTCTGTCAAAACTGACATTGTGTATAAAATAATATTTTTAAATTTTAGAAACAGTGCATTGACTTTTTCTTTGCTTTACAGTCTGTCACTGCTTTACCTGTTTGTTGAAATTCTTGCCCCTAAATCCTTCTGACACATAATATTACTTACATATCAGAGTACACAGTGAGGGCCAATGACTGCTGCTCGCTCTACAGTCTAGAGGCATACTGAAGACTGCCAGTGTAGCTCAGTTCATGAAATCCTCATTACATGATGCACTTCCTACAGGACACAGCAGGATACAGCCTCAATGAAAACCTAGAGCAAGGAAACGTCTTGGTGACTTCTCCATTTTAGGGTAAGTTCAGAATCTTAGGTTCTGTACAGGAGTTTAGATAAAATGTGTTGCAGGCCAGGAATTTCATAACTGATTGGAAGTTTACAATGTGATGTTTACAAAGTTGTGGCATCTCTTGCATCTCGTGCCTATCTGTGAGGATGTGGTTGTGGAAATACCTAACTAAAATTAATCCAATTAACATTTTTAATTCAGTTTGATTAAATAAAAAAGCTTTTCTCAACACAACCTACACTGCAAAAACAAAATCTTACCAAGTGTTTTTGTTTTTGTCTAGTTTCTATTGCAAATACCTTAGAAAACTCGAAACAAGGCAAAACTAACTTAAAAGTAACTTGTTTGAAGTCAATAATTCCTTATTATTGATCAATAAGCACAAGTTCCACTGGCAGATTATTTCACTTATAATGTGGGAAAAATATCTTGTAAGTAAATTAATCTGCCAGTGGAAGTAGGATAACGTGCTTCTCAGAACTGCTGCTGTTTCTAAGATATTTGTGCACCAATATAGTTTTATCACCCATTGGCACCGTCATGGAGGTTCACTAGTTATAAAATAAAAGTTCACCCCTTAAAATTTGTGCTTAAATTTCATTTCTGCATTCCTGTTGCCAGATTTAAAATGCTTGCTCAATTCAGGCTTTCAGGCTTTTCAATTTAAAGTTAATATTTCATAGAAAATATTGATCCTAGTCATTTAATTGGCTACTTGAATCAAATAACACACAATATTGGTGCATCCGCCTGAGAAGCAGCTGGATGATTGAACAGTTTATTACAATATAAGAGTTAAATAAAGCTAGAAGTGCAATGTAACACATTTCTAATCTTCGAGATTCTTTAAATTTTGATGATCACAGAGGTTCATAGTTTGATTTTCATTAGCTATGGTTTTGTATTTACTTCCTAGTGTTTTAAAACACTAGGAATATATAAAATCCATATTTTTAAATGATACATTTCTAAATTTCCAGTTTTTATTTTTATTTTTCAGGTTGATATTGGTTTCTTAGTCCATGTGATCATTTAGGACTGGGTTGGTTCTACTGTTTGTGTTTAATGACAGTAACATTGTTTTGTGTCTTGAGACACTTTGATAACAGAACGTTTGAACGAGCCTACTATAGCTACTGTTCTGTGGCTTTCTTTAGTAATTTAATTACATGTACCAGAATGACGCTTTAGTAATCTGGATTATTTCATTAATGCTACATTGCTGTGAGGAGACACCGAGTCTGATCTTGACTATTAACACCAGCTGTCCCTGCTGCTCTACTATTACTCATTCTAACAATCACAACAGAAGTGACAGATGAGCCAGTCTGAATCTCACTGTCCTTCACTTCCTGCTCTCTATTGAAGAGGTTTGGGGGGAGGTAAGTATTGACTTCCAAATTAAATATTTATTTTCCAAATTAAACATTTTATTTAAAAAAATAATAATTTTCATAACAAAATATTGACTTCAGACCTACATATATAGCTTGCTAACATGTTTTGCAAGCCAGCTGGATGCTTAGCTTGTTAATTAAATATTAGGTTGGTAGCTAAATATTAAGCTTGTAACAAAATATTTAGGTCCAAGCTAAGTATATGCAAGGTAGCTTGTCGACAAGCGGAAGTAGAATATCAGAATAAAAGCTGGGTTTTACATAATTCTGCTGCTGGCAGAGCTAAATCATTGCTCAAGTAAGATCTGTCTCTTATTATCATCGATTCTTTTCTTCCTGGAATGTCCAATGTGTTAGTTGAAAACATGGGACTGTTAGAATCTTGGGTTGTTTTGGTGTTTGATTTGATTCTGGTTTCATTATTATTCTGTTAGTTTCTTATTTTGGTTAGATCAAAATTGTTCCTGTTTTTCTTTAGTTCAGTGCTTTCTTAGTGATTCTTGTGTACTATGTTTATTTCTTGCGTCCAATAGTTCATGGTTACTCTAGTTCAATTAAGTTTTCTGTCTTTAGTTTTGCTTGATTGTCAGATTCATTCTCTAGGTCCCTGTGCTACTTTCTCTCTCTCCCCTCAAACCTGCAATCAGTTAATCAGCTCAGTCCCGTTGTTCCAGCATTCTGTCTCCCAGTACTTCTACAACTTTTCTTCTCTCATTCCTTGCAGATTCTCTGCAGCCATTAAAGCAGTACATTCAATGTTTTCATCTGAAACGTTGGACATGTTGGGGGGCAAAGAATCAATGATTACAGTAAAAAAATGTTACTTCAGTAACAATTCAGTCTCACTGGTGGAGTTTATAGCAGCCCCCGGAATCCAACTTTTATTTTGAAATTTCACTTCCACTTGTCGGAAACCAAATTGCATATTAGCTAAATATTTAAGTTGGACCTAAATATTTAGTTAGCCAGTTAAATATGTGTCCTCTGCCTCCCAGAGGTGACCAACTACATGCTGACCGGAGACCAGAACTCTGGATTGGCTTATTTTGTTTTTTTTTAATTTTCTGTTTGAAAAAGGTTGGATCTACTTCAACATAGTACACCCGCAGTTTAAAAGTGTTTGAACATGAATTGCTGAAAAATACTTCATCAGCTTGTGTAGATATATGTAGTGAACTGAGCATAAAACAAACCTCTGTGGTTTCCCATATTACAGCAGAAATCTTAGGATGCCAGGAAAAACATCTTTCCTAGATCCAAGTTCTGTCCCAGAGGTAAAGCAGCATATTCCTAAATAATCAAACAATCTGTCTATTGTCTATTCCCGCTCATCCTTGCATGGCCGTGTGAGGCTGGTGCCTATCATCAGTGTTCTTTTTGAAAAGGCGGGATTCACCAGAGACACACGGGACAATGCCACTGTGCACACACACACACGCACGGACACACACAAACACCTAAGGGCAACTTAGAGAGGCTAATAAACCAAACAGTCATGGTTTTTGGACCTGTGTTAGAAAGCTTGAATTCCCAGAGAGAATCTATGGAGAACATAGAAAATCCATGGACAAAAGCTCCAGTCCAGGACTCAAACCAATACCGTCTTGATACAAGGCAACAGGGCTGCTGACTGTGCCATGTGCAGCCCTCTGTCAGACATTTCAACAGTTTACATCCTGCCTATGCATGCAATGTGACCTTCACAAATGACCTGACGCTTTACAGCAGCTCTTTACCCTGAATGATAGGACTTGTGTCTCAGGTAGTGACGGCTGTTCTTGTTTTTTTTGTTTTTTTTTCCTTATAATGCTGTCTGAACATACATCATTCTCATTGCCTATGCTTTGTTTCATCACATGTCATGGCGGCTCTGTGCGCCACCTGGCTGCTCCACTGATGCTCCTGTCTCCATGGTTTATTTCTTTCTCCATGGTTTATTTCTTATTTGTTGCTTCTTGGTTAAAGTTCCTAGTTGAGTGTTACCATTGGTGCGTTGCCTTAGTTCTTATACTAAATGGTGCAGAAGAGGAATTTTGTTTCAGCCAAAACAACACAAGACCAGTTTTTTCCTCTGTTCTTGGTTACATTTTCCTTTTTATTTGTTGCTTTATATTGATGATTCAAAAACAATTAATATAAAACTGTATTAATGATAAATTGTCGGTATTTAGAAATGAAACTGTGAGGGTAAGAAAAAAAAACAAACAAAACAAGCTGACTAAAGTCCTCATAACATCACTTGAAAACACACAATTTCATTGAAATAGAAGTCATCAAGACCAATTTTGCAACGACATTCAGTCTGGATTTGAGGTTTACACAAAACATATGTTTAACTTTAATAAACAAACTATTGTTTATTAAAGTTGCAATACTAATGTAATAAAACTGTCATGCAATTAACCTTTCTGTAACAAGATCATAATTTTACTGAAACTATGTCTGCCTATGTTACAAATGTTGGAGGTCCATACAAACCAAAGTCCTGAAGCATAAGTCATGACATTAGACTGATGGTGTGATTTATAGTTAGGTTAGGGGATCCAAAAGGGCATCCAAGCATAGAGTTATGTGAGCATGAGTTTCCATGTAAAAGCATGCATGTATGCCAGCAAGCCCAACCATGTCACTCAGAGCAGCAGCAGCAGCGCCAGCACCACGCCACCTGCCAGTCCGGCCTTCCAGGAAGAGGAACACTAAATGCGTCAGAAAGAGACAAGCATCTTATGATCTGCTCCAGAAGAAGCCAGCATGTGCATGTGATTGAATGCATGGGTTGGTGTGGTATGTTTTTATGTAAGCATCAAACAATGAAGGAAGGGACGCCTTGGCAGTGCATTGGTACTTTTTTTAAAATTATTTTTGTTTTACACAGAGCCATGTAGGTTTAGGTGTTTTCTTTTTTCCTGTGTTGAAAACAAACACCTCCATTTAAAAACTGCATTTTATGTTTACTGTTGTCTTTGACAAATATTTCAGTTGGAAACACTAAAGTGTGATAAACACGTAAATTGATTAACACAATCACTTGCGTTGAGATTGTCAATTTTACAACAATTTCTCATGTCGAGAATGCAATGAAGGGGAAAAACTCCGATTTAGCAGGAAGAAACATCCAGGAGAACCAGGGGCCTTATGCATAAAAGAGTGCTAAAACTTGGCATAGGGAAAATTTTAGAAAAGTGCGCGGCACAAAAAACATCGGATACATAAAGCCGTGCGCACACACGTGGCCGCGCACCTTTCCTTTATAAATCCTAATTTGCGGGAAATAGAGCAGCTGCTGGTCCGCCCTGTCACCACCCACAAATACATATGTAAATTAGTATAAATACCCGGCCGGAAGTCTGCCACCACGTGAAGCAATAACCATGGCAACGTCCTTGTTTGAAGCAGTATAAGTATTTATAATAATAATAATAATAATAATAATAATAATAATAATAATAATAATAATAATAATAATAATAATAATAATAATATAATATAAATTTTATTTATAAGGTGCTTTGAGGGCACATACTGTCAGCCTGTCACCTGACAAAAATAAAAATACATTTTAAAGAAAAAAAAATCCCAAACAATCTGAACTGCATTTATTAAAATAAATCTAAACACTAATAAAACATAATCAACATGTTATGTTTTAAAAATATCGTACCCGATGTTTTTTCTCTTAAGGTCTAAATAACTGTATGTAGTCAGATTTCAGTGTATTTATGTGAGTTTTGACACTTTGTAGTTTGATATTGTTCACAGAAAAAATTTGCGTGGCTGCCGCACATTTTCACGCCAGGGAAAAAGTGTATGTATATTTACACAAACTTTGACACAAAGTTAATTTTTATACATGCTGACTTGTGAATAAATTTTGGCGCCGCACATTTTTTGTGCGCACGCTGCTATATGCATGAGGCCCCTGGTGAAGGAGTGCTTTCTATGTTAAAGTAAAAAGTTGACATCAGGAAAGGGACAAGTTTCATTGTTGGCAGCACTAATTCAGTTTTCATTCACCCCAGTGACTGCCTGCTGATTTGGACTGATGACTTCTGGACAGGGGCGCCGTGAAGGGGGAAATGTTAGGATAATTTCAAGAACCCCTGATCAACAAGGGGATCCCCCACAAAATATATATTTTTTGTTCCTAGAAATAGAAAAAAATGGGACCTGTCAATTACAAAATTAATCATATTGTATTTTTTAAGATTGTTTTAAGCAGTAAAAATTAAATGTTATTACTCCCAGGCTCAGGATACCTAAACTCATCTACTTCCTGTATCTCTTTGGTTCAGCCTTCTGTCTCATTCACATGTGATCTGTCCTGCTACAGAGCAGGGTTTCATTTCTCCACACTTTCTTCCAGTTCCTTTCTACTTTAGCTAAAAATCATATATTCTGCTCAGACTTCACCCAGAGTTTATCAGTCAGTCTGTTCACCACAACTGCAAACAAGAGAAGACTTAGAGCTGAACCTTGACCTAAGAGCTACCACCTCTCTTCTTACTCCATGCTCTACCATTCTATTTCCACACATTGCAGATACCTCCCACATCTATGCTGACAGATGCTGATGTTCTCTCAGTTACAATTACCCAACCTGTCAGACAAGAAGACCAGCCAAACACAGATCAGTTACACTTTTTCACCTCCGCCACAAAGATACATTGTCTGGAATGATAGCTTGGATCTGGACCATTGATGATAAATGATCAGCTCTTTGTCGTCTCAGTTTTTTTTCCCCCCAAGAAGAATGTTGAGTTTTAGATTTATGACTTCTTAGTTAGAAAAGTATAAAAATTTTTTCTTCATTTGTTCTATTTTCTTTTCAAGGGTACAAGGGTGTAGCTGTTTTCTACTTTAAGGGTTTTATGTCAGGCAAATTTTACTTAACAGTCACAGGCAATAAGTGTATCAAAAGGAAAGTCAGGATAGGTCAATGGATGGACAAGCTGTGAGGTTACTTGTGCCATGTTGGGAGAGAAATGCTCCTATATGTTAACAGTTGCTCTTTGTCTGACTGCACCACCAGAAACCAGGAGGGTTCTGCTTCATCATCACTTCTTACCTGGCCTGAAAAACACAAGACTGTTTTATATTCAATACGTTCTGCAGATTATGGCAGGAAGACAGTATTTCCTTGACACTTCAAATGAAAAAGAAAAAAGTAGCAATTCTATCCACCCAGCTTAAAATGACTGGTTGAGAGGTGAGCTAGAATTTAAGCAGTTAAATTCTCAGTAGTGAAAACACCCAGATTGGTAGCAGTGCTCAGGTGAACCATTTATTCAGAATGGAGATGCAGGATTGTAATTCTTCACTGATGTTGGTCCAGCTATTCTCAGCCATGTTCAGTGCTTTGCTGCCTGGTGTCTTTGGACTGAACATCAGCTAATGGAATGGTGCTCAGCTGGGTTTGTGCCAGCGCTCCAGCTCTGCCTTTCATCATATTCCACCTCTTCACCCTGAATAGGTTTTGGATTGCCACAAAAAAAACGTTGAAATCATTGTCCTGCTGAATGGCATGTGTTGCAGCCATTGAGTCCTATCCATCACCTGTCAGCAGTGAATTCATCAGCAAAGGCCACTATAACAGTCATGTTGGTATCCAGCCATGCCTGAGCTGCAACCAAAGATGAGGATGTGTGCGTTGGGTTAAGATCTCTGCTTTTTTTTTTTTTTTTTTTTTTTCATTGTACTTTCATTTGACTGAAGTTAATTGCAGATTGGGACCAGATTCTCTTTTTGTTTGGAGTAACTTTCTTTTCAGTTTCTGATGTTTACCACATTGCTTTGGGTTTATTTCAAATGCAGGGAAAGGATAAAGGAAAAAGGGTGGGGTAGAAAGTTAAAGGGGAAAGAGGGAGGTAAGACTTAAAAAGAAGAAGGATAGAGAATACAAGGAAACACCCTAAAAGTCTGCTCCTACACCTGCAAACAGAGAGAAAACAACAAGAAACCACAGTAAACAATAACATGTAGATATATGAAAACAACATCACTGAAAAGCACACAGTACTAATTAACATAAGTGAGATCTGAAAACAACTAAATCCAAACCTCAGTGAACTCCTGGGCCCAGTTTCACAAAGCAGAGTTAACAAAGTGGAAGGCAGATACTCTGAATAAACCTTCCTAAACGCTATTCACCATGGCAACGGGAGAAAAAAAGAAGCAGTCCACATTTCTCGTCAATGGAGTAAGACATTTTATTGATGGCATGAGAATATCAAAACATATTTATAAAAAAAAACAAAACAAAAACAATGCTGCTGCCAAATAGCCAGTTAGCATGATGCACTAATACCTGAGAACTACAATAACACTCAAAATACAACTTTCCTTGGTGAAAATTACTGAGATCATATTTAATCTAGGCTAAAAGCAATTAAATAAGATTCTGAACATATCAGCTTTATTGTATGTAAGGCTGAAAATATACCCAACTCACAGTCATAGTTAGAACATCGGCTGCTTTTGCTGATTGATGAATTAGACTTGTTAAATTTAGGACGTGTATAAATAGGAGCCATGATGGATCACCTCAGTGATGATGACATATTCAAATGTAGTGTATTCTGAACGCTTGTTGTCCACTGCAGTCTGTTCATCAGCTCATATGTTAAAGGAGAAATATGACCCTTGGAGTCACTTTGTATTTGCAAGGTTAGAGCATGGTGAAACAAAAGTTCTCCTCTGAGAAAATGAAAATCGATCAGAATTCACAGATGATCTAGTTGGTCCTTCCTGATTCAGCCCCAATGAATCCAGGTTGTGTGAAATGTTGCTGCATTCTTTGTTGCAGGTGGATCACATCCTCTAGCAGCAGCGGTGGACTCCCGTCTCCAGACTTCTCAGAAACAATGTTTCTCTTTGTAGGAACTAAAGTCACAGAGAGAAGGAACGAATGCAGGTACCACCTTTACTCTGATCCAGTTTTGTTTTGAGTTTGTTAGATTAATTCATTCCTGCTGAAGTATGTGGAAAACACAAGAAACTCACATAATTTTAAACCTGTTCAGTTCTATTTACCAGAGGATTCGGGACCATGAGGTGCTGGACAGGAGGAAGACGGTGACGGCTCTGAGGGCAGGCGAGGACAGAGCCATACTGCTGGGCCTCAGCATGGTCTTCCTCTCTGTCATGATGTACTTCGTCCTCGGCATCACCATCCTGCGCTCTTACTCTGACAGGTACTGTCCTGTTTTATACTGGACCAACTTCTGGAAAGGTGATCACATCTACAGTCCCTTAAAGGTGTAGTATGTAATTTTTTATTTTAAAAAAATATGTTTTTTTTTCATATGTGTTAAAGCTGTCACTATGTTGTGGCAGGATGTTATGAGACAGATAATCTGTGAAGTGGCCCTGAGCTACTATTACCATGTTTATGAATGCACTGCCCCCAACCAAAAAGAGCCAATCAGACCCAGGAGGATCGTCTTAAAGCTGTCAATCAATCCTACGTAGTCGCTGCTAAATGTGCTAATGTCAGAGAAAACACTTACAGGAAAACCATTTATTTCCTGTCATTGGTGGCCATGCTAACTAGCCTTAGCATTCACGGCAGGTGATGCTAGCTGCAGCATAGCAAAGAGCAAGGTGGATGTTAGAGGGGGGATGAGCAGCACCACATGGAGAGGTGATTCAGAGCACCAAGACCCTCCCCCTGGTTCTGATTGGTTGTTTCTAGCCAGAACTGGGAGAAGGCAGAGGAGATACCAAACTGTCACAATATGGAGACCATTTGAACAACCATGTAAAAAAATTATTGTTTTTATAAAACTTGTACACGGCAGGTTTAAAGACATACTCTAACTACTTCCTCTTCTATACATTTTATCATATGACAGACATGAGTTTAAATACATTTTGTGTGAATTTTGTGACAAATTCTAATATAGAAGGCAAATGCTAAATGATTCTCAAAATGAAGATAAACATTTTAAAAAATCTAAAATGTATTATTTTACACATGAGTCTAGTAGAACCACCTTCCACTGTGATTAAAGCTGCAGATCTTTAGGAGTTTGTCTCCACCAGCTTTGCACACATGCAAAATACATCTACCACATGTCTACTGTGTGCAGTACGAACTTAAAACTTGACTTTTCATCATGTTTTTTTTTCACCATTACCTTGCATCCAAAAAGTGAACAAACAGAGTTTGTTCATTAATGTAGCCTTGATGATGTTTGGTAACAATGAATTTCATTTTCTCTCATGTTAAATATCAATTTCTTTTTGCTTACTCATCATGTCTTACTTTGTCTTGTGGTCTTGCCCTGTCCCATAAAATCCCATTTAAATACATTGCGGTTTTATGTTGGATCACTGACATAATGTGGAAACCATCAAGAAATTTGAATACTTTTTCCAAGACACAGTATTAAAAAATGACTGCTGTTGTCTCTCCAGTGTGTGGACAGATGAGGATTGCTGCACCATTGTGAACTCCACCATAGTGTGGGATGTAAACTGTTCATACAGCTGTGGAGTAGAGTGCTGGAAGAGTTCCCGTTACCCCTGTCTCCAAGTGTATGTCAGCCTGAACTCATCAGGACGGCTGGTCCGATTGCTGCACAATGAGGAGACACACGACAGCAATCCCGAGGTATGCAACCACAGATGCTGCAGCTGTGGCTTCATGTCATTCACGAAGGACAAGTCTGGTTTGAACAACAAGTGGTGTCACCAAGAACGTGCTACTGTCAGGTGTAGTCTCTGCAGCCTGGATATTGAACTCTTAGTAAGTTTTATCCGTATCATTTACCAAGATTGTTATTTCGGTAACCACCATCAGCTGTTGCTGACACTGCATGTGATGTCATCCTATCTCTTGTTGCTAAGCTATAGACACAACACGCCAATGAGTTTGTTAGCTGCTGTACCAGAGAAAGTAAAAGGCTGCAGTTGTATGCCTGTGTCAATGCTTCTTACACCTCCACACAATGAACCTCTACTTGGCAAATCAGATCACAATCTTGTCTTTCTCTGCTCAGAATATAAATCCCTTGTTCAAAGATATAAAAAGATAACTGTGAAAAATTGTCACAGGAAGTTAAAGATGGCCTTAACTATGTGCAAACATAGTTAAGGTATTATTATTATCATAATAACACATAAGTTATTATGTGTCTATACAGTAGGAAGGACAGAGATGATGTCACTGACTGTACAAACTCCCCACCAGAACAGTGAGATGTTCCCAAATAACAAACCATGCATCATCAGTGTTCCGAAGGGACTGTTAAAACGTGAAAAAAAGAGACTTTAGGGAGGGAGACAGGGATCATTGAGGAGTATACAGAAACAACTTGAAGTCAAGACAGCAAAGAAAAGTAGAGGAAGAAGCTGGAGATCAACTTCCAGCAGAACAATATCAGACATGAAGATCACAGGCTCCAAGCAAAAGCAGGATTGGAAAGATGGAAGCCTGGACAGATCAAATGAGTAGAACATATTCTTCAACAGGTTCATCTTGGGAACAAGCTCATCCTTCTCTCCTGTCCCCAACCAGACAGACATCCTGCCCTCCTCTGACCCACAGCTTTCCTGTGAAACCTCAGATGTTTTATCTTTGCCTCAGTCACTCTTCTGCTTCCACAAGCTGGAGAGACTGAACCAGGGAAAGGCTGCAGGTCCAGATGGTGTGAGCCCCAGAGTCCTGAAGGCCTCTGAGGGATTCTGCAGCATCTCCTCAGCCTGACCAAACAGAAGGTACTGTTGTTGTGGAAAACATCCTGCCTGGTTCAGGTACCAAAGAAAACTCATCAATCAGTCATTAACAACTACAGACCTGTTGCCATGACATCACACATCATGAAGGTCCTGGAGAGACTCCTGTTGGCCCACCTGAATAAGCAGACAAGCTCTTATCAGGACTCTCTGCAGTTTGCTTATCACCGTAGAGTTGGAACTGAAGATGCCATCATGCACCTGCTTCAACAAGCCCACTGTCATCTGGACACAGCAGGCAGCACTGCTCTGCTTTGTGTCATGTTGTGGGAACAATTATTTCATCTTTAATGTAAACAAAACAAAGAATATGATTGTAGATTTCAAGAGAAACAGTTCCTTTTTGTTCCTTTTAATAAGTTAAACTACACGGCCAATTATATAGTGTTAAATCTCTAACGTAAGTCGTGTTGGTTCATTAAACAGCAACTATTACCATAATATCTAAGTATTAGACAAGTATAAAAGAAAGTGTGAAATATAAATCTGCCTTTTACCAGACAAATCACAATGATTAATTTTTTTTCTATTTTTCAGTGTTTCTACATTCCAAAGTGTCATAAAGACTATGCTGCCACGCATGCCATGGTTCAGGACATTTCTCAGAGACTCAGGACTCAACTCACAGTTCAGTGTTATGTCGACCCAACAGAGAAGGCAGACAGCGCCATCATGACCCAGATTTATGGTCGAATTGCCGTCTTCCACTCTTTATTCTGGCCAACCTGCTCTTTGATCGGAGGAACCGTCATCATTGCCATGGTGAAGCTGACCCAGTATCTCTCCATCATGTGCGAGAGACTCAGCCGCATCAAAAGGTGAAGGGAAACAGACGGATGGTCAAAGACAAATTGAGGTTTTTTTTTTTGTTGTCCCCATAATAAAATAAGGGAAGAAGTAAAAGCTGTCTGTGGACTGCTGTTTCATGAACTAAAGACATTCATGTCTCACACCCTTCATGCAACCTACAGAAGAAGCAGATACACTTTTGGAATGAAGTCTGTTTTAAACATAGGCATCTGTTCCTTATAAACAAAGCTGCTTCTATGTTGTATATATTTGGTTTTCTAAGTTTTCTTTGAAATTCACAACCAAGGGGTGCAGATGGCGAGTGCAGCTCATTAACTGTAGTTGAATTTCAACAGATCTTGTAATAGCCTTGTTTGTAGACACAACACTTGAAATACTGTCCTTCTTTCCTGTTATTTACAGACATGCATATTAAACATTTTAGCATATTAAACATTATTAAGATGTCTTCCTTTCTCTTTATGTAGCCCAACAGATTGTAAGGTCAATACCAGTACTATGTACAAGTGAATGGATTGTTTAGTATTGGAAATTGCGGGTGTGGTTAAATAAAATGAGTATTTAAATACATTACTCATTTATTCACAGTCACTGTGTAAGCTACGCTTTGTGGATATGAGGGCTATAAATAAATAATAAAGTAAATGTCAAACAAGAGGAAAGTTGCATGTTTGTAGTACAGACCTCCGTAAAGTGAAATTAACCAGACAAACTTACATTAGCCACAGGTAATCTCCACTCTTATTCAAAGATAAACAGGTGGAGTAAATTGGATTTATTGAGCGCTTTAATAAATAAGAATCCAGGCCACGCAAAGTGCTTTGTTATGCTAATGTGCACAAGAAAGATGTACGTCAAGTGAAAATTTCTTTGTGCAGCACATTTCAGTCACCGGGCAGTTCAAAGTGCTTTACATTATGAAAACATAATGCAAACATAATGCAATGATAAATTATGGAACAAGCAAAAAACATTATACTTTGGGAAATGCCATCATCACAAATAATCATCATCAAAATAAGATTTGCTTCATTTTTATAATCAGTAGCAACAACAGGTTTGGGTTTGATGCTTACTGTCTCCTGACACCAAATAAACACCACAATGTCTGGTTTAATTATATCTAGCTAAAGTATACAGTGCAACACTCGGCACATGTGCAAATTAATTTTGTGCAGGGGCCTATTTTATTTTCTGACTGGTTGTTTTCATTTTTATTTCAGATTTTACTACATGGCACTCATGTTGACCAAGAGTTACTGTAATGAATGTTTCTTTTCAGTTTAAACTACTGGTGTAACTTTTAAGAGTGGCGATTAATCAGTAACTATAAATAAATGTTTACTGTATCTGGACAGTTTTAAAGAAACAAACACATACTTTCTGATGGTATATAAGTTTGCTTTGGAAGAATAAATCTGGGTTTAGAAATGTGAAGCCAGTGCAATTTGTTGCTGTAAAATCCTTTGTTTACTTGTGGAGAATCCACAACTAACGTTCATGCTACTTTTAATCTTATGCGTTTTATTGGAACTTTTAAAATGTCTATTTTCATCTGTATGTTTCTCTGTCTCACCGAAACATGTCAAGCGTCGGGTTTTGTGATCAAATAGGGCCATTGCCAGAGAATTATGTTTCAGAGCAAATTGACAACTGAATGTTGCAGATTCAACATTAATATTTTTGCTTTATGCTTTGAAATGTTACATGTCTGTCTTTCGGTCCTATTTTGGAGTAAAGATAAAGTAAAACATCTAATAAACAGATAGTCACAATTAAAAGGGGTGGATTTTTTTTTTTTATCATATATGCAAGGTTTAGCTTAAGTGTTTCCAGGAAGTGTTTACTGACGTGTGTTAAACTGTACTACATCTGCAGAAATATGCCTCAACTCTGCTGAAGTTTATTAGTCTGGCAATAACATTAAAGAGTGAATGGGATGTCGGTAATAATTAACAAGGCAAATAACCACAATATGTCTGCCCCTTGACTCATAAAATTGATTAGATAGTTTGTGCATTATCAACACAGGCATTTCCTTTGATGTTCAAAAAGAGCAGAAGATTTACTGTGTGAAGGAGTCTGCATCTGGAGCCATGATGCTCAGGTGGATCGTTCTGGTGTTTGGTTTTGGACTGGTAAGTACTGAGTCTCTTTAAATGTGGATAAGATGCTTCAGAGGAGTGAAGATATGCAGCGATGCAACTCAATATGTTTTATGTTACAGACAGCAGCAAAACTGACAAGTGAAACAGGTGGGTGAACACATTTAGAACAAGATGACTCAATTTTCAAGGTTCTGCTTTTTGCTTTCAAGCCTTCATTTAGTAGCTTTGAGTTTCTTCTGCTGCCCAGTTTACTTACAGGTCAAAAGGTAAAGTTAGAAATTACATCAAAAGTCATCCTCTAATTGAAAGCTGTAATTTGAAAGTATACATATAGCTATCTATTTATGTAGCTCTATATATGCTTCCAAGAAGCAAATTTATTGAAACTTTCCTCCTAAGAAGCAAGACAAGAAACCAGTCTGCCATGTATATCTTGGGTACATCAACCAATTCTACAGAAGGAACATTGATTACCAGCAGGCAACACAGTAAAGAGTCCTGCCTGATGAAGGCAGATGAAGCTGGGATCAAACCAGAAACTTAGTGACTGCAAACTCCTACCACTTTTGCCACCATTGTCCCACTGTACAGGGTCTGAACCCTCATTCATTGAGAAATGATTGGTGGAGGCAAGGACTCTGGTGAAGTTTGAAACGATTGGAGCTGATTTTACACTGATTCTTTAACATCAAGGCTGTGAAGGATGCAATGCGCCAGTTCAATCATGAAGGAAGTTACACTATGAAGCTTACCAGAAATTGCATGTGCTGTAAACAACCATCCCTCACTGAGAACAGAGAAGTTTTGAGCCAAACTAGAGGGGTGTTAATTAAAGCTGCAGGCTTTAAACATTCCTCTTGCTCCGACTTTAATTGCTCAATATTTGAAAGCTTGGTCAACAGGAACTGAATGGCTTTGTTCACTTTCTCCACTGCCAATGCCAAACAACAACCATAGGCAGACTACAGTTCTACAGCAGTGCAGAATACAGCTAACAAGTCCTGCTTCTATTTGCTAATTGGCCCGGATGACATTCACCTTGAAAATTCGAGCTCAAAGGGAGTCTGAAGGGAGGTACAAATTGAGTGGCATTGTGGACAAAGGAAATGGCCAAACTTCACCCAAAGTAAAACAGTTACTTCAGAAACGACAGGAACTGATGTTCACAAAATTCTCATGATCTCCTCATGTCGACATGAGGAGATCTTGAGAATTAACTTATTTTGTGCATTTTGTAACTTATTTTTCAAAATGCCACCATACTGTACATGACAAGTTAGGAAACAGTGCTGCAGCATCTTAATATCCTGACTTATTCCATGTCTGCAGAAACTGATGTTGATCAGGGCCAAGACTGGGACATCTTTGACATCAATAAAGGTTTGTTTAGTTTTGGTCATCTTGCTGTTCTCAAAGTTTGTGCTTAACCTCTCATCAATAACTATGATCCTTCCCAGCCGCTGACCTGGACCTGCTGGAGGGGGATATAGAGAAGGATGAAGTGAGTGTCATAAAGCTGTATTTTCACTCCAATCTCTTCACTGTTGATCCAAACCAAAAATGTGTGGACTATTATATATTCTCGGACACTCCTCAGTAATAGTGAAATTCCAACAGCAATCACATGACAACTTTTGATTACAACTGCTCTGGATTAATTCTACATTATAACAGCATTCCTCCTTCAATCTAGAACCTTGACAGAAATTCCATCATAGGGGATGAGTATCGCTGGCCAACAACCATTCCCTACTACCTGGAGGACAGCTTAGGCAAGATGTACTGAAAAGTGACATACTACACCATAAATGCATTAAAACACGCTGCTTTAAATGGCTCCTGCTCTTTGTTATATAGACATCAATGCTAAGGGAGTAATACTGAAGGCATTTGATCAGTACAGACTAAAGACTTGCATTGACTTTACACCGTGGAAGGGAGAGGAGAACTACATCTCTGTGTTCAAAGGCAGCGGGTGAGTAAAGCTTGACTGTTGCCTTTACTTCAAGTCTGTTTCTTTTCTGCTTAATAAGTTACAAATCAAAACCAGGAGCATGGCATAAAACCAGAAACCATCGCATAAGCTATCATGACAGGTGCCCTTGCTCCCTTAATTAATATCTGACTGTCACACACATTTTGTCATGGTACAAGTCACAGAAAATGAGAAATATTATTTTAATTAAACATATGTAGAGAAGAAACCTAATTGGTAGCATTAACCTCTCAATTCCTTCGCTCTCTTATTTAGTCTATTAGTCATCCTCCTCAGTATCTTTACTGTGGCGTCTAAAGTCAGTTCTCAACAGCAGGTATCTTGCGTATTTTCTGTACCTAGTTCAGCACATCTGAGTCAAACAGCACCTGTGCAGAACGTTGACATGCTGCAGAGGAAGTTGGGCTGTTTGAATCAGTTGTGTTGGAGTAGAGACTCGTCTAAAAGTGGTAGGACACTGGACCTTAGAAAGACGACAAATGAGATTAAACTGATGCGGCCGTTCCATAGTCACTTCCTGCCCTAAATAGATACATCACTGAAGCATACAGTGACGTATCATATTCATTGTGTCATAGAAGCCATATGGTATGGTACATCTCATTCCACAGTTGTCATGCCAACTATGGTATCACATAGTTAGTGGAGGTCCTACATAGATACCCTATTGACGCACTTCATTATCAGTATGCATTTTCTGGCTTCTGTACATAACAATCTGCTCGGAGGGAGCCACCTGTTATCGGCTGCAGTTCTCCAGTCTGACCCTGAACCCTGCTGTGTTTATATAAACCATTGAGTCACAGCTGATTTCCCACATTTTTCTATTCTTAAGCTGGCACTTTGGAAACTATTCACACTATTCTCAAGGCATCTGAGCCCCAGTTATGAATGATCATATTTCTACTCAATATATTTTGATCCCACTCTCTATGGCATAAGACCCCACAGGTCTGTATGATGCGTACTCTGTCTGGTAGTTTATCACATCTTCAAACTAAGTCTCCATGCTTTGGAACACATCATGACTGGTTTCTGTGTTTGCATAATCAGAGTTTTTTTTTTTTTTTTTTCAGGCCATAGGTCCATCCAAGTCCTTCTTCTGAATTATAATTTTTCTACCTCAACACATAAAAATCATATTCACTCATTCTCCTGTTCAAGTTCTTTGCAGATTTTACATGAGTCTTTCCTACTACTTTAAACATAAAATGATTGAGTTTCAAAACATTATTGCTCAAAGTTATAAGATGCAGATTATAGACTCCAGATCTATATGCAAGTCTTTGGATTAAATCATTTTCTCCTATTTAAGGAGGTATTTACAGATCTTAGAGAGCATCAGGCTGTTGCCAAAAATAAATTATTTCAACCTGGGTGAATATTACTAAAAATGCTGCAAAAAAATAAAAATAAAAATAAAAATAAAAAAAATAAAAAATCATAATTTCAGGCCTGGAATGATGAATCAGTCATTGTGACTGTTGAGAGATAACAGTGTGTGTATCCTGACTGTTTTTTCTCTCTGGAGATGTTACTCCTCAGTAGGTAATCGGCGTGTTGGGAAGCAGCAGCTGTCCATTGGTACAAACTGCGACCGACTGGGAACAGTAGAGCATGAGTTCCTGCACGCTCTGGGGTTCTGGCATGAGCAGTCCAGAGCGGACCGCGATGACTACGTCAACATTATATGGGAACAAATTGAACCTGGTAACATCTTGTTCTTTTTCTCTTCAAGTTGATTTCTATCAATTAGCTTTTTTATCTGCATTATAATTATGAATTTATAATAAAAAAAACAAAAATGTTGGAGTCAGTTTTGTAACACAGAACAGAAACTGAAGCAGTTTGCTTTTTGACATTCATCCTTCTTGTAGAATCCCAATGTGCATTCT